ATCTCATTTATTATCTATTATTTCACGCTTGCTTAAATGTATTCAAATTGATTCACAATTATTGATGAATACCAGATGAAACGATCTAAGTCACTTTTTCAACGAACCCCAGTTAATGGCGCCATCTGGTAGCAAATTGTATAAGCTTTCTGTGGAACAATTAATTTCAGGTAAAAACGATCGGAGTCACATCGAACCAAGGCCCTTCTGAAATGGCCTCCCGGACAAATACAAATACAAGTCCATCGTATTTATTTGACCTTAATTTGGCTGAAAAGTGGAAGTCAGTTGTTGTACTGGTAATTATGATTCGTATTAAACATCATTTTGAAGTTGTAATTAAACCCACTCGTTGTTTTGTTTGCGTCATACATTCTCGTCCAAAAGTCTGTTTTGCCTTTATGCAAAAAGACAAAAATGTGACTTAAATCACTCTTCTCCATGACTCATCATGTAGACCATTTCCTCGCTTCAATCGCATTAAAAAAGAGGCCCAACACTTATACACTTGTTTACATCTGTTGCTAAGGATACGAAGCGTTCTACAATTTTCAATTCATCATATTTCTGTAAATATTGACCAGAATTTGTAATATTATTGGATTGATAAACCTTTCAGAGGTTCAACTTTCATAATACTGTAGTCTGCAAAGGTATCACAATCCCTCAAATTATGGGGGGGTTGGATGGCCAAATGGTTAGCACACACGCGCTGTATCATACGGTCTGTCATTGAGTCAACTGGCAGGGTTTCGATTCCCCGGTTGTACGTGACAAGGAGTAGGGTCGCCTGTCCAACCTCATGGGTTTTCTCCGGGTTCTCCTGTTTCCTCCCACAGCTAAAGACCCCTACGCGCAAGCGAATTATGGAAATAAAATTGAACCACATGTTAGTCCCGAAATGACCTGGTTTGTGTCGAGTGGACGTTAAACCCCATTTCTCTCTCTCTCCCCTCAAATTATGATCATAGACTTTAAAGTTATAGATAACTTATCAGAGAGAGACAAGTGGGGTTTAACGTCCACTCGACACAAACTAGGTCATTTTGGGACCAATATATGGTTCAATTTTATTTCATTAATCTGTTTGCATGTAGGGGTCTTTTGCAGTGGGAGGAAATCAGACCAGGAGGAAACCTACTAGGTTTGACAGACGATCCCACTCCTTGTACAAGCGAGGAATCAAAACCATGCCTCTTAACTCAATGATAGACCTTATCATGTAACGCGCAGGCGCTAACCATCCCCCTAACCACATAACTTATCAGAAAACAATAAACAAAATAGATGATTTTCAAAGGATTTTGTAAAATTTGTTACTGAAAGTTTCTGCAACTTTGAACAGAAGTAAAAGAAATGGACTTAACGTCCTACTTTTCTGCACCGACTAGGCTAATGAAGATGGTGTAACTATGAAATGAAATGAAAAGGGGGTTTAACGTCCTATTGTTCTGCTCCTATACTGGGCTAATGAAGACGGGCATACGCCATACAGTGTGCTATGAGGGAAATTTTGCCCGGGCAGCGGCACTATGGCCTACTCTTATATCGAATACCAGCTGCCAGGGGACCTTTTATGTGCATTCTAATATATACACGGGACCTCAGTTTTTCGTATCGTCCTTGTCAGGCCCTCCGTCCTGCATCACTGACAAGGGGGAACCACACCGGAAAATCTGGATGAACTTTCTTGGCCAATGCAGGGATCGAACAGTAACTATGAAAGGATAGCATGGAGACAGAAAGGGTCTAAAGGCAAGAGAGACCATTTTTTACAAGATATTAACATTAGGGACAATTTAGGAGAAACCCTTTCATTGATAGGGAGCCACATTGGCCTGCACGTAAAAAAAAGAACCATTGGTATGCGAAATAAGAATATGCTGCAGCACTGCTGTCCGTGAAAAATTTACATCATAGCACACTGCATGGCTTGTGTCTGTCTAAATTAGACCAGAAAAGTAGTATGTTAAAACCCATTTTATTTCCTTAGACGACAAGGGGGTTGGATCATAAGGTCTGTCATTGAGTCAAATGTCGTGGTTTTGATTTCATGTTGTACGTGACAAGGAGTAGGGTTGCCTATCCAACCAGTTCTCTGGTTTCCTCCCATTGCTAAAGCGAATTATTAAAATAAAATTGAACCATATGTTAGCCCCGAAATAACCTAGTTTGTGTCGAGTGGAGGTTAAACCTCTCTCTCTCAACCATATGTTAGTCCCGGAATGACCAAGTTTGTTTCGAGTGTGTGTGTGTGTGTGTGTGTGTCTCTCTCTCTCTCTCTCTCTCTCTCTCAGTAGACAATAGGATAGACAAGATTTATCTAGATATTAATATCATGTAACTTCCTTCCAGAAATAGTCTCCATAATCCAATCTATAGCAGACATAATCTCCAGGCTCTTTAACCGTAAATGGAATATTGCCCTTTATATCTATAATATCAACTAATGATATTAATACCATTCTTAATGCCAATCTTCTTACCACGACCTGGTCTACAGGGAGGTCAGCAAGCAAATTATTAAGACAATTCTAACACTTTGGTCCTTAAGACAATTTTGTTTCTTTCAAAATTGTTGCTTCACTCTGTCTATAGACTACTATAGAGAGAAATCACACAGTACTTAATGAACGTGAATATATAGTTATATATAAAAAATAGTGATATTTTGGTAAAATCATAACCATTGTCAAGATATCCATCAAATTCTGGATGTTATATTGACCTATGGTTGGTAGACCAAATAAGGCAATATCTCCTCCTTTAGTCGTGTGAAATAAAGAGGTTTATTCCATATTTGGGATAGAAATTAGCGTCAAGGCTATCTAAGACATGCAGAAATTACTGGGTATAAATTAGGGTGTAGAGCTAGATGGATCAGAGCTCATTCAGAAATTCCTAGCAGCCATTATTATTGGGAACGAGGAACCTTCAAAGCCATTACAGCTTAGCAATAAAGTTGTGAAACCATTGATGCTGTAGTCTTGTTACGATCACGAAGAAACAAACACAACAAGAAAAGAAGTCCGATAGTACTACACAATTCTTGGTTTCCTCTCACTGCTAAAGACCCTACGAGCAAGTTGATTATTGAAATAAAATTGAACCATGTGTTAGTCCTGAAATGATCTAGTTTGTGTCGAGTGGACGTTAAACTCTCTCTCTCTCTCTCTCTCTCTCTCTCTCTCTCTCTCTGAGAGGAAGTTGAAGAATGCTGAGTAAATTGGGGTGATTAATAAGACGACATTCAAGAGCATTAGATCAATCAATGCTGGACTCTAAAAGAAGCTAATGTCATGCTGATTAAAGGCGAATCACATTTATACTGAAATTTTCTAGAAACAGGATCAATACCTATGTCTGGTACAGACATGCAAGTCATAAGACGGTCTAAATAACATGTTCCCTATCCATTTGTCTTATAATACGGCCTGTACTCGACTACATCTGGCCATTTAAGATTTTTAAGAAATTGGTTTCTGTCAATCAAGTTCTTATATCCAGTCCAATCAGACTTAGCTTTATCTCATTCAGAATAGATATATATATATGTATCGGTAAGTGCAGGAGGAACGCACAATACATGCAAAACAAAACTGCGGACAAGACAAAATGCACAGCCTGGCAAGAAACAAAGAGAGCGAGAGAGAGAGAGAGAGAGAGAGAGAGAGAGAGAGAGAGAGAGAGAGAGAGAGAGAGAGAGATGGGGTTTAACCCCCACTTGACACAAACTAGGTCTTTTTCGGGACTAACACATGGTTCAATTTTATTTCAATAATTATAACTTGCACATAGGGGTCTTTAGCAGTGGGTGGAAACCAGAGGACCCAGAGAAAACCCACCAGGTTGGACAGGTGACCCTAGTTCATCACGTAAAACCAGGGAATCGAAACCACACCAGTTGACTCAATGACAGACCTTATGATGCAACATGCACGCACTAACCATTTGGCCATCCAACTCCCTGGAAACAAAGGTATATATCAAATCGCATGAATGGATTTGGGGTTCAGCCATAGTCATGTTCCTGAAGCAACGACCCCGACCGTTGATAAGATGGATATTTATATTTAATACGAAAATATAACCCGTATATATTACGAAATGTCAGTATTACATAACAGATAATAACAATATGGCCATTTAAAAATTAAGTTAATACTAAAGAACATGTATAGTTTCTAAGTCGCTGTGTAATAATATTATGGCCTTGACCAATAGTTGTTTATAGATTCATAGTCAAGCAAAACAGTGGGTGAAACAACGGAAATCTGGGATATTATGATCTATGAATTGAACTAAAGGTTATAAACACATTTGTCATATCTTCATGGTCAGGAATGCAATGTGTCTGTTGACAGGAATAGGGTCGCCTGTCCAACCTCATGGGTTTTCTCCAGGTCCTCTGGTTTCCTACCACTGCTAAAGACCCCTACGCACAAGCGAATTGTTGAAAAAAAATCAATCATGTGTTAGTCCCAAAATGACCTAGTTTGTGTCAAGTGGATGTTAAAACCCATTTCTCTCTCCCCAAATTTAGTAATAAGTCCCTACCAGGGTGCAAGGTATGGGGTATGTCTATGACGTAAACCAATTGGGGTGTGGGCACTATAAAAGAGAGTGGGGGAATCGCATTCGGGAGAACTCACACCGCCTGTCATATCAGCCATATACTTATTTGAGAACGAGAAAGATTTGTGACTAACGCTTCCAGTTTATTCAAATAAAAAAGAACTTGAACTGTAGTTATAGTTTTAGTAACGGAAGAGAATACAACATGAAGATTAATGATCCAATGGTTGGTATCAGGGTTTTGATAAAAGAATGTTTTGGGTTGAGATTTAAAACGGTCCACTGATGTTTTTTTCTAAAAATGGAGATTTCTAGTCTACTGGTAGTATTGTGTTTTGTTGTGAATAGTGAAATATCTGACCTACATTATACCAGTATATTGTAACAGTTGTGTTTTGTTGTGAATAATAAAATATCCAACCTACCTGTATGCTGTAACAGTAGTGTTTTCAGTTTCTTGCATCTCTGTATTAGGGTTTTAAACGAAGATCCTTTGATTCGAAGACAGAAGTTAAGAGACAGACATTCCAGGTGAATACAGTTGGATGTTAATAGTTCAATGTGCGAGTCATCAACAAAACTTATACCATATAGATTAACAATCTTTAAATTGGGGGTGTGAGCTTTGATTTTACTGATATTTATCACTTCATAGACATCTTCTTCAGATTCTGTGGACATCTCAAAAGTTCCTGCAATTAGAAAATTGGTTTTAAAGGTTCCTGCAATTAGAGAATCAAAAGTTCCTACCATTAGAAAATCAGTATTATTAAATGTTCCTGCAATTAGAAAATCAAAAGTTCCTACCGTTAAAAAATTGGTATTAAAAGCTCCTATAATTACAAAACTGGTATTAAAAGTTCTGACAATTAGAAAACCGGTATTAAAAGTTCTGAAAATTAGAAAATCGGTATTAAAAATTCCTACAATAAGAAAATCGGTATTAAAAGTTCCTATAATAAGAAAATCGGTATTAAAAGTGTCTACCATTAGAAAATCAGTATTACCAGTAAAATTCCTATAATTAGAAAATCGGTATTAAAAGTTCCTATAATTAGAAAATCGGTATTAAAAGTTCCTATAATTAGAAAATCGGTATATCATCAAAGTTTCAATATCTGTCAATAAGGCAACACTAATTTAATTATCAGTTTTTCTGGGTCTTGATAATCATACAGCCACATGAAAGATGTTTAGATTAGGCTAGCTTTGACCATTATTACTAAAGTCGGTATGATAAAAAACAAAGTCTCAATTATCCATTTTTGTGTTTAATTATTTTTCAAAAAATGTATTCCAAATTGCTAAATATCGCAGGCTAGCGATGACATCTAGAGTTAATTATGGTCTGGATAAGTTAATTAATGTCTAATTAATAATTTATAGAGAGAGAGAGAGAGAGAGAAATCAGGTTTAACGTCCACTCGACACAAACTAGGTCATTTCGGGACCAACACATGGTTCGATTTTTTTTTTTCAATAATTCGCTTGTGCGTCTTGGTTTTTAGTAGTGGAAGGAAACCAGAGGACCCATGGAAAACCCACGAGGTTGGACTGGCGACCCTACTCCTAGTCACGTACAACCTGGAAATTCGAAACAATGCCAGTTGACTCAATGAAAGACCTTATGATACAACGCGCACGTGCTAACCATTCGGCCATGATTTCAATCGTAGCGCGAATCATGCTATTGGGAACCTAGCACAAAATACAAGAGCAAGGATCAAGTCTTGAAAATATTTTCTCAAACAAAATGAAAATGAAATAGTTTTACATTGAAAACCGTTATTTTATTTATAATTTGGGGCCTGTTTCACGGAAATTTTAACTAAGATAAAATCCAAATTTTAGTAATTTGATTGGATGATATTAGATTGATTTTAGTGCTTAGCCAATCAAAATTGAAGTATCTACTAAAATTTGGATTTTATCTTTAGTTAAAATTGCGAGAAACAATTCCCTGAAGTGGACACATTCAACCATTTGGCCATCCAACCTCCCTCTTCCTCAGACAAAATGAATATGAAATAATTTTACATTTAAAATCGTTAATTTATTATTGATGCATTCAAAATTTAAGGATTATTTTGTCAAAACAAATGGACGCAGTTTCTTGGTTGCATAGCAATCTGATTAAAACACAGATCCTATTTCTTTTTGTTTTTTATAGTTCGAAATTTCGTTTTACTTGTCTTTACTGCACGAGGATCTGGAAGAGGTGTTATATAAGCTGCGTTCTGCCTGATGTAAGGGAATAGCCAATAAAACGGTCTTTTATGGCGAGTTCTTGGTCTTGGCGTGTGATGCACAGAACTGAGAGTATACTACTAGAAACATCAACGTTAATCAAATGTCTGACGTCATAGGGTCAAAAGCCGCTCGTAAGACCTCTGACGCGACCTCCCACTACAACCGGCCAGATCATCATGTAGTGTAGGCCATCGAAAGTATAAAAAAAAACCCAACAAAATATAGATCTGTATTTTAATCAGATTGGGTTGCATAGCAGATAACAGGTTGGTATAATGGAGGTGGATTGTAGAGGTAGAAGAGCAGGTTGGGAGGGGGGGGGGGGAGAATTAGTGATGAGAGAATATATAAAATAAGCATCTTTATTTACAGTCATCTCCATACACAGTGCTGAACATACATTATGTATGATTTAGATACAGAGCTGGCTTGAGTTCACAAAACATTCTCAGACTTAAGTTAAGAATTTACTCAACTTTTAATCACTGTTTATGAGAAATATCTTTGATCAAGAAACACAAAACTTTGTACATAGTTTCTTATTGATGTATTTGATACATTAAAACAACAAAAGTTTATAAATGGCTATATTTTAGCTAAGGTGAACAATATTGAGTGAATTCTTAACTTAAATCTGAGAATGCTTTGTGAACTTGGGTCATGGCCTTTCTCATATATTATTAACAATTAATATACCAGTACTGCAAATTTCAATTAAATTACTATATTCCGAGAGAAGTTATAAATGTTTGAAGTTTTGTAAGAATAGCTAGCCTTGATAGTCATTGCTACAACAATAATAAAGAAAGTTTTGATTTTCCATTTAAACATCAACTGATTATATTGCGCCGTGGGTTTAATTCACTTAATACCCAAGCCATTGATTATGGGCTTAAGTCATGTGAATAAATATCTAATAACATTTGAAACCAGATCAAGCTCTTGCATAATGTATGTTAAATTTATTATTCAAGCCGCATGGGATAATATTCAAATTTTCTCTTACAAGAGTCTAAAGTTGGTCTACACAAATAAACTCAGGGGCAGATCCAGAGGGGGGGGGATTTGGCCCCACCCACCCTGTTCAGCTACAATTTTTTTTTAAAACAGCACTTTTATAAGAAAAGTGTCACTGCCGTCTGCTTTTTCCTTTATCATTCAAGGCGTGATATAATGATACAGGCATATGCGATATCAATGAAATTGAATCACAATGTGATCCTATTAATTTATAATAAAAATTGACGTCAAACGGGGTATTGGATTTCTCTATTTAAAAAGCTCAATGTGTAGGTACATGTATGCCTACATAATTTACAGACGACTATGGCATCATGCATTGTCAACTGTTGAATTTCCTTAGCAGGAACCTGGCAAACCCCCTCCTGCAACAATTCCTGGATCCACCCCTGAAACTGTGCATAGATATAAGTTGTATAATTTGAAGTAATTAACCTTATTGTAGTGACTGATAACCTAATTACCTACATCTTAATACATATCAATGCAAAAACACTGTCCATTACACTCACATAGGCCGCAACAATTTCATGTTTTGTTTTTCTGTAATAGGAAAATGAGGGGTGAGAGAGAGAGAGAGAGAGGGTTTAACGTCCACTCGACACAAACTAGGTCATTTCGGGACTAACATATGGTTTACTTTTATTTCAATAATTCGCTTGCGCGTAGGGGTCTTTAGCAGTGGAAGGAAACCGGTGGACCCGGAGAATACCCACGAGGATGGACAGGTACAAAAAAGAAATGAAATGAAATGGGGTTTAATGTCCTACTGCTCTGCTCCTATACTGGGCTAATGAAGATGGGCATACACCATACAGTGTGCTATAAGGGAAATTTTGAGCGGAACTATGGCCTACTCTTATACTGAATTCCAACTGCCAAGGGATCTTTTACATGCACGCCAATGTAGAAATGGGATACATGACTTTAATAGTAAGTGCAGGAGGACCGCACTACGCGTAAAACAAAAATCTACAAGATAAACCTGCGGACAAGACAGAAAATAGACATTGCACCAAATAAACAAATATCAAATCAAGTGAATGGACCGGTGTAATGGCCACTCAAAAACAATGTCATTTCGGGACTAACATATGGTTCAATTTTATTTCAATAATTCACTTGTGCGTAGGGGTCTTTAGCAGTTGGAGGAAACCGGAGGGGGGAGGAAACCCACAAGGTTGGATCCTACTCCTTGTCACGTACAACCGGGGATTCGAAACCACGCCAGCTGTCTCAATGACATATGATTCATCGCGCACACGCTAACAATTCGGCCATCTACCCCCTCGTGTGTGTACAGTAGTTACGCATTTTCTTGTCAAAACAGTTATACATGTAGGCCTTACACAAAATGTGTTAGTTGATTTTTTCAAAATCTTTAAGTTATAAAAGTTTTGAAATATTTAACAAAACATACATTTATCGTGAAGTCCGGAAAATTAAAGAGGTTTGGCCTAATCGCCTGCTTTTCCTTGAATAATATATTTAGGTCATTATCTAGACAAAAGTTCAATTATGGAAGTTATCTAGTTATCTGTTAACTGTATTTGCCCTTAGGTCTCAGACAATAATTAAATACTTAATCTTAAATAGTATCAGTTATATCATAGTGTCTCAATTATAAGCTTTATTATCCAGTCCATGCATCTTTGTTGTGATGAAATAATCAACTGGACAATCTAGTCACACTTGAGCTGACATTAAATTTATTTATTTTTTTTTTTTCCAGACACAATATGAAGGTTAGCGCTAAATGATAAGGCCAGCTCAATTTTTGTCATAGGTCACGAGATGTAAACAGGGCTAGCGCTAATCCCAACCCTAACCCTGGACCTAGTCCCAATGCTTATAACTTTTAACCCTAACCTTGAATCACGCCAACAATCACCTGCCCTAACCTTCTTTACATCTCCGCGACCTTGACAAAAACTGAGCTGGCCTTAACAAATAGATTTAGCTAAGCTGGCCTTAACAAATAGATTTAGCTAACCATGAATCTATCAAGGTTAGCTATAAAAACAATTACTTCTGGTAATTCTTAATGATGAACAACCAATTTAGCTGTTCCGAGAGAGAGAGAGAGAGAGAGAGAGAGAGAGAGAGAGATTGATTAAGGTCAACTCAACACAAACTAGGTCATTTCAGGACTAATACACGGTTCAATTTTATAGAGGTCTTTAGCAGTGAGAGGTAACCTGAGGACTCTGCAAAAATTTACGAGTAGTTTGAACAGGCCAAGTGACCCTTCTCCTTGCCACGTACAAGCGGGAAACCCAAGCCACACCACTTAACTCAATCACAGACCTTATGATCTAAAGCGCATGCGTTAAACTATTCAGCTATCCAATCACCACCCCTTCTCAAATGGATAGTTAGAAATATTATCAGATTATGTGTTGAACACCTATATAAAATGTTTAAATCATAGAGTTATTGCCCTTCAGCAAGACTGTGTGTACACCCTACCACTGCAAGCCTGGAAATAAGCCATCCATGTCAGATGATGTCAGGCACAAAATTAGACCGTGTCATTGTTCAATTCCTCCGGCGCAAGTCATTTTGTCTGGTACTGATTTTTCTTTATTCAGGTATTCTTCGGATATTTTTAGTAAATGTTTGGCACAAATCTCATGTATAATATCATCAGTGCCTGACATTTTATCAGGTACCACTAAAAGTGTTCTTTCCAGGTCTGGTTGCCAAGAAACCTATCTTTTAGAAGAAATGGGGTCTGCTCCGACTGGGCTTATGAAGACGGGCATACGCCATACAGTGTGCTACGAGGGAAATTTTGCTTGTACAGCGGCACTACAGCCTATATCCAACTGCCAGGGGATCTTTTATGTGCATGCCAATGTGTACACGAGACCTCAGTATTTTTTTGTGCCATCCCAACGACTAGACAGCTGTTCTTGTTCTTTTAAAAGAAGCAGATCACACTAGGAAAAGATACATGCTTGGTATCTTCAGTGACATCATTGCGAGGATGGAAAAGAGCAAATTCAGTTTAAATGTTAGTAATTTTAGTTGAATGTTTATGAAGTATGATACCCTCCTCTCACCTGATGTAAAAGATCTCCCTGTTTTAAATAGAAATATTGATTGCCACATGATAACGTACATGACACGATGAAATATGAAACATCCCATATATATACAAGCCTTGACATTAAAGGTACCTGTCTCAGGTATGAATCATTACACTCTACCTGTCACAGACTTGTAAGGTACAAATCATTACACTCTATATACAAGCCTTGACATTAAGGCCCCCGCCTCAGACTTTGTCAGACACAACTTACAGTATCATTTAATCTTGTGTGAAATGAAATGGGGATTAATGTCCCACTGTTCTGCTCTGACCGACTGGGCTAATGAAGATGGGCATACACCATACAGGGTGTAATGAAGGAAATATTGCCCAGGCAGCGGCACTATGGCCTACACTTATATCGAATTCCAACTGCCAAGGGATGTTTTACGTGCACGCCAATGTATACACAGGACCTCGGTTTTTTGTCCCTTCAAACGACTAGACAGTTGTCCTTGTCAAACCCTCTGTCCTGCACAAATGGAAACCATGTTAGAAAATCCTTATGAACTTTCTCGGCCAATGCAGGGAGCGAACACCCGACCTGCAGGCTAGCGAGCCAGCGTTTTACCCACTTAACCACTGTGGCTCCCTTAATCTTGTGTATTTAGGACTAATTTCTTTTGCATTAATTCAATATCAAATCTTTGTTTAAAAATTCATAAAGATAGGTTGCCAGGCAACGAAACATACGCCCACAGCAGCTATATCGTCCGGGCAGTTAACAAGAGTTGTCGCATATTTTTACTTTCTCCGGTAATGAAACATTTATAATACATTAAAATCTGATTAAGAGTAACAACTCATTAAGTAATATCAGAAAACCATTAGAATTTGTTTGGTTTTTATAAAATTTCTGCCCCATGCTAACGTTTAGTATACGAAACTTTTAACATCATGGATTTAGCTGTTCAAGTCATAAAGATTCATTGAAAATCAATATACTTGTTCGTCTCAAGACCTTAAACTCTGTGTATCAATCTGAAGTCAATCGGATGATAACTTTAGCCTCTAGAGCGTCACAAGATTTGTCAAAGTGATCAGGGGCCATAACTCTGGCAGCAATTATATGAAATCATTGTTAAAAATCAATATGATTCTTTATCTCATGGCCTCAAACACTGTGTATAAATTTAAAGTCAATTAGATATTAACTTAGCCTCTAGAGCGTCCACAAGATTTTTCAAAGTGATTAAGGGCCATAACTCTGGCAGTATTTATTGGAAATCGCTGAAAATCAATAGGCTTCTTCGTCGCATGACCTTTAACACTGTGTATAAATTTAAAGTCAATCGGATATTAACTTTGACATCTAGAGCGTCCACAAGATTTTTTGAAGTGATCAAGGGCCATAACTTAGGCAGTAATTATCGAAAATCGTTGAAAATAAATCGATAGGCTTCTTCGTCTCAAGACCTTAAACACTGTGTATAAATTTAAAGTCAATTGAATATTAACTTTGACCTGTAGAGCGTCCACAAGATTTTTTGAAGTGATCAAGGGCCATAACTCTGGTAGTATTTATCGGAAATTGCTGCAATTCAATAGGCTTCTTCGTCTCATGACCTTAAACACTGTGTATAAATTTAAAGTCATTCGGATATTAACTTTAACCTCTAGAGCGTCCACAAGCAATTGTGGACGCCGGACCGACGGGGGCGACAACAATATACGACCACATTTCAATGTGGGCGTATAAAAATCATTTAAAATCTTCCCAAATCACCTAATTTGTACTTGTGTCCAGTTTAAAGCTGACTGAGTAATTCTGATAATGAGCGTCCAATTTACAAGTATTTAATTTCCTGATGACCACTGTTCAAAAATTAATCACTTTACATTAATAATTTGGTTTTTTATTTTTAACAGTGGTCGAAAAATTAGACATGCTTGTAAATTAGACACTCATTATCAAAATTGAATGGTCAGCTTTAAACTGGACACAAGTTAAAATTATATATGATTTTTGGTGATTTTAAACGATTTTTTTTTACAAATTTTTAAACAAAGATTTGATAATGAATGAATGTGAAAGAAATTAGTACTAAATACACAAGATTAAATGATACCTGGGTTACAGTGATATATATTACAGTACTGTATATAACAATGTATAGGTTGTGTAATAATTTATATCTGACAAAGTCTATGACACAGGTGCCACATGTCCAGTTTTGTATATATCATCCATTCTGTGAAATACCTGTAAATAACATTATTGATCTAAACTCATCTAATTCAGTTTCCAAAATTGTCTTTACAGAGTACTAATGAGTCGACTCTTTCAATTGATTTTGAAATTTGATCAGCTTTTGTCCATTTTTTAAAATCTGTATCGAGAGAACAGAAATCAAATCTGATGTGTAATTTTCCATATTGATTGACTCGTTATTTACTGATTCAACCCAATATTTAAAAGAAACTATTGTCCTTCACAACGACCTGTAATAACAACTTAGTCTCGTCTTCTGTCAGAGATACAAAATCAATCAACAGCGTAATCCCACCTCTACACCAAAGGTACAGTCATTATTGTCCTACCTCTATGCCAAAGGTACAGTCATTACTGTGGTAAATAAACTGAACAAAAGTTAAACAAAGTATACTGTGTACAGTCGATCAGCTATATGATGATACAAAACTGATTTTCCATTTTGACAAATTATGAATATACACAAATATTGAGTAGCTACCATGAGTTTTCCCAGCGTTGCACAGGTAGAACAGCTGTCTAGTCCTTCGGACGAGACGAAAAACCAAGGTCCTGTGTATACATTGAAATGCACGTAAAAGAACCCTTGATAGTTGGAATTCGATATAAGAGTAGGCGATAGTGCCGCTGCCCGGGCAAAATTTCCCTCATAGCACACTGTGTGGCGTATGCCCGTCTTCATTAGCCCAGCATAGGAGCAGAACAGTAGGACGTTAAACCCCATTTCATTTCATTTTGCATGCGTAGAACCCTGATATACTGTAATATAACTCTGAAATGGGAAATAGTAGTACAACGGCAACAGGCCTATATCAGTCCCCAGCTCCAGCTGCACTCTACCCCACACTCCAGCCTCGAGGCAGACCTACTGAACCAGAAGTACCATAACTCTGAAATCGGATGTGGTAGAACAACGGCAAAAGGCCTGCCCTCTACCCCACATTCCAGATTCGAGGCAGACCTACTGAAGCTGTCAACCACGAACATAGAAACGACGGCCAGGGTCCTGAACCGGAAGTACTATAATTCTGAAATCGGATGTGGTAGTACGACACCAACAGGCCTGCCCTCTACCCCACATTCCAGCCTCGAGTAAGACCTACTGATGCTGTCCACGACAAACAGACAACAGCCAGAGTCCTGAACCATATTACTCTGAAACTGAAACTGGTAGCAGATTGTCAACAGGCCTATGTCACTCCCCAACTCCAGCTGCCCTTGTTTCTTGTACCCACAAATTTCAGCCTCGGGACGGACCCACTGGACCCACCAACCACGAACAGACAATTATCAAACGACAGTCACAAACATAGAATTGATCACGAAAAAATATTTGTACCGTTTAAATTACTTTTGTACTCACCAATCAAATGAAGAACTTCCAACGATGAAAGACAACTGTAGATTCTCCTCATAAAACCTTCCAGAAAGATCACCTCCGAAAGACATATACACAAACTTCTTAAATTACACGGGAAGGCGTTCATGTCGTTAAAATCGTGGAGCTGCATAGCATTGGAGAAATCCAGAGTCATATATCTCAGATTTGGCGATTTATTGGACAGCTCCTGCATGACAGGTGCTGTTATTAGATCACAAGGTAACTCGATGTAATGGAGTGTTGGTCCAAAACGTAAATTTATCAGAGCCAGCAGAGTTTCAACTGTGTTGACGTGTAGTCCTGAATATTCTGGTCGGAGCGAAACTGCCTTCCATAGCCGACTATCATAGGCAAACAGACGCCATTTCCGACACACCTGAGCTACTTTGCCCAATTCTCGATGCTTGAGAAATGAAAATATATGCAGTACCAGTTTCTCTGGAATCTTCTCAATGGTGACAGCCTGAAAAAAAAAGAGATTAAGAAATTTAAAGTAATTAATAATAATACATTATAACGGTAAATCTCTTTGGGGGATATTCTATGCCCGGAATAACTTGTGGTCTGAAAGTCGGGGGCGACTTTGGATCTACATGTATACAGGGGAATTTGGGGTTATTCTTCTGAAAGTTTTTCTTTAAACCTGTAACAGGTTATTCTTCCAGGGTAGGGTTTTTTTTCATAAGAAAACATGACCTAAGGTTTTTCTTATTGGAATTCTGGGATATTCTCATTTTGCGTACAGGTAAACATAGACGGTTTATAAGTAAGATAAAGTCCTTGACTTTGGTTATGCGGGGGAATAAAGACTTCAGAAAAAACCCTCAACAGAACAACCTCGCACTACCAGCCTCGGTTTTTCTTTTTCTTGGGTTATTTTCGTCAGTCTTTCTTTCCCCAACATAACCCCAGTCTCGTGCTTTATCCTACACGTAAAATTCAACCCACCAGGGCATGCTCTAGGTGCTAGAAAATCTTCTCTCTTTGGATTGTTAATATTAGTGATTCTCGTAGTTTACATGTTCCTGAAGCAACGACCGCGAGTTTTACAACATCTAGCCGTTGCTTCATCAATACTCAACAATTCCCGAATTTTTGCACTTGTTGTGTTTACACGTGACTAATTAACATTGTCCAATCAGAGGTCGTGGCACATAACAAACTGTAAACAAATATGGCGGCCTCCATAGAAAAAGAAATAGACAAGTTTACAGCATTTGTTGATCAACCATGATTTCCAGCAACCTTGAAATTGATCGAACCTTGAACTTTGTAACTCGATTGTCACATGTAGACATTTTAGCTAGAAGCGCGAGATTTGATAATCGTAACGCTATTTTTAACGAAGGAATCTGATAGGATCACAAACTGGGCTTATACCCAATCGAAATTAGTACTAAAATACGCGGGGTATTACGTGAAGAGCTTGATAAGATGTACATAGTTAAGGCGAAATCGAGCCTTCTATTGAAGATGGTATTTTACGGGGTATACATGTGTCGATGTGGAGTATAAATAGAAACATAACATTTTACTGTTTTTCCAACCTCCATCCATCTACAAGTTAAAAACAGTATATAAGACGAATAGCTATTTAAAAACTGATACAGAATAACATTGTCAGATATTTTTTGGAAGATGTACAAAATGAAATTAAATGAAATGAGGTTTAACGTCCTACTGTTTTGCTCCGAACTGGGCTAATGATGACGGGCATACAGCATACAGTGGGCAATGAGGGAAATTTTGCCTGGTCAGCGGCACTACGGCCTACTCTTATATCGAATTCCAACTCTCAAGGGATCTTTTAAGTGCACACACAGTTTTTTGTCCCATCCAAACAACTAGACAGCTGTCCTTGTCAGACCCTCACTCCTGCACCACTGACAAGGGGAAACCATGTCGGAAAATCCCGATGAACCATCTCGGGCCAATGCAGGGATCTAACACACGACCTACCGGCTAGCGAGCCAGCATCTTAACCACTTAGCCACTGTGGCTCCCCTCCCAAAATAAAACACAACAGCTGGTAGTATATCTAGAGCTGTTGTAGATATCTGTGAGAGTGTACTACCTCTAATAGTTGTATTTCTTCCACGTGAAATGTTAATCTTTCTCATCTATTGTAGCTCAAGTAGTTAGATCTGGATTAATGTCAAAATAGTGTTATATATATAGATTGGCTTCAAGCACTATTATATACCATATTCTTTTACACAGGTATATATATACTGTTTGATAACAAGCACCTGCTCAAGTAATACACCTCTACTAATGGGGAGAGAGAGAGAGAGAGAGGGGGAGATAGAGAGAGAGAGAGAGAGAGAGAAAGGAAGATAGAGAGAGAGAGAGAGAGAGAGAGAGATAATAAAATCAATTTATAGGCCTATAGTACACTGTATTTCAATTAATCATTTTAATACACCTTTTACGCTTTGACAGAAATTATTTGTAACACGAACATTAACAATATAGAGAGAGAAATGGGGCTTAAGTCCACTAAACATAAACTAGGTCATTTTGGGACTAACATATGGTTCAATTTTATTTCAATAATTCGCTTGCGCATAGGGGTATTTAGCAGTGGGAGGAAATTGGACGACCCAGAGAAAACCCACGATGCTGGACAGGCAACCCTACTCCTTGTCACGTACAACCGGGGACTCGAAATCACCCAGTTATGTTCGGTGAAGTGTTTTCCGGTTGTTTTCTGGTGTTTTCCGGTATATAGTATTGACGATATTGAGTTAGAGACTTAGCTACTTTACTGTCCTGCTCCAACTGGGGTAATGAAGACCTTGGGTGAATCCCGTTGATATTGAGTTAGAGACTTTGTTACTTTAAGAAAGCCATTTTCAGAAAACAAATGGACAAACTCAGAGAAAACCCATAGTAACTGCCAGTTTCAGCAGTAGCAGGGGACTAATAAAATATTATAAAAGTGTTTGCTTGTTTTTATTTAAATAAAATCAATATAAGAAAGCAAATTTCAGCAAACAAACACAGAGAAAACCCATAGTAACTGCCCAATCTGGTTAAAACACAGATCCTATTTCGTTTTGTTTTTTATAGTTCAAAATTTCACTTTACTTGTCTTTACTACACTAGGATCTGGAAGAGTTGTTATCATTATTGACGTGTTCTGAATGATGTGAGGGATAAGCCAATGAAACGGTCTGTTACGGCATGCTCTTGATGTGAACTGCACGAAACTGTGGGTAGTCCACTAGAAACGTACATCAATGCTGATTGGTTAATCAAATATCTGATGTCATTTAATTGGGTCAAAAGCTGCTTGTATGACCTTGAAAGTATAAAAAACGAACAAACACAGAGAAAACCTATAGTAACTGCCAGTTTTAACAATAGCAGGGGACTAATAAAATAGCATATACCCTACTCTTGAAACCATATGCAATCAAATTATCAAGTTATTTTAAGATATTTGCAGATGTATTAAAAAACCTCAAAGTATATATGTTTATTATTATTTATTCCCTACTCTTGAAATCATAGACAATAAAGATGTTCAAGATATTTTAATTATCCATCTTTGAAAGACTATTAAGTTGTAATTTACCCAAATGATGAGATATCTGCCGGTGTATTATAAAATCTCAAAGTATGTAGAATGCTTATTATTTATTCCCTACTCTTGAAATCATGTACAACAATCAAATTATAAAGATGTTTAATTATTATCCAGCTTAGGAGAACATCATGCTGTAATTACCCCAGGATATTAATGGCGAGATATTTAAAATGTAATTAGACATATCTTGGTCTGTCTGTAATTAAAAAGGCAAGCGAAGAAAGGGATTTGAACGATTCACAGACACATTTAAATGGGGTTTAATGTTCTAGATGTTTAAACAAATAAGTCTAACATCCATTCCACACAAACTAGGTCATTTCCGGACTAACATATGGTTCAATTTTTTAAAATTAATTTGCTTGTGCGTAGGGGTCTTTAGCAGTGGGAGGAAACCAGATGACCCGGAGAAAACCCACGAGGTTGGACAGGCGACACTACTCCTTGTCACGTACAACCAGGGAATCGAAACCATGCCAGCTGACTCAATGACAGACCTTATGATACAACGTGTTCACCCATCAAACCCCAGTTTAGTATGGTATTGGTATAATGCATGGCGTTCAATGGCGTACATGTAAGACTGTTCAATCCCAGCGTGGTTTCCCCTTGTCAGTGATGCAGAACGGAGGGCCTGACAAGGACAGCTGTCTAGTCGTTCGGATGGGATGAAAAACCGAGGTCCCGTGTACACATTGGCATGCACGTAAAAGATCCCTTGGCAGTTGGAATTCGATATAAGAGTAGGCGGTAGTGCCGCTGCCCGGGCAAAATTTCCCTCATAGCACACTGTATGGCGTATGCCCGTCTTCATTAGCCCAGTTTAGGAGCAGAAGAGTAGGACGTTAAACACCATTTCATTTCATTTCATTTCCATGTATGACCGTTTCCATTAGCCTGGGTAGTGCTGTAAAGTAGGCCATTAAATCCCATTTCATTTCCATTTGCAATATATTAGTTAGAGAACATAATATTTTGTTCATGTGTAATTGTGTTATAGTCTCGTTATAACGGACAGACTGACAAAATAAAGAATAAAATCATCGAAAAATCAATATACCACTTCCCTACTCCTGGAGTCAGTTTCTATCACTTCAAACAGGGAATTCTAAATTCTGACAATACATAAAATATTGAAATATTCATGAACATTCCAACTTAGCAATCGCTATCAGGCCATGCTTCAAGAGGGGATCACGGTGGCTAAGTGGGTAAGACGCTGGCTCACTAGCCTGGAGGTTGTGTGTTTGATTCCTGCATTGGCTGAGAAAGTACATCCAGATTTCCCGGCATGGTTCTCCCTTGTCAGTGATGCAGGATGGTGGTCCTGACAAGGACAGATGTCTAGTTGTTCAGATGGGATGAAAAACCAAGGTCCCTTGTACACATTGGCGCGCACATAAAAGATCCCTTGACAGTTGGAATTCGATATAAGAATAGGCTATAGTGCTGCTGCCCGGGCAAAATTTCCCTCATAGCACACTGTATGGTGTATGTCCGTCTTCATTAACCCAGTCGGAGCAGACCAGTAGGACGTTAAACCCCATTTCATTTCATTTCCATGCTTCAAGAAACATATAAATATAACGTAAAGTTGTGGTCATTTACAAATTTCAAAGATATTAAAACAGTTTTTAAGATATCAATCTGATTAATATACAGATTATACGTTTGACGGCCTACACTACGTCAGGGGTCAAATGAGCGGCTGTTGACCCTATGACGTCAGACATTAATTAATCAATCAGCGTTTTTAGTGCTTTACTCACTGTTCCGTGCACAAAAAACTCGCTGTAACTGACCGTTTTATTGGCTAATCGTTCACATCAGCCAGAACACGTCAATGATAACATCCCTGATCCCAGTACAGT